CATCCCGCCTGCCTGCCTGTCTGACTGTGCGCAGCGGCAGAGAGCCTCTGCTGTAATAATCCAGGGGACAGAAAAAATGTCTAGTCTGTCAGTGAGAAACGTTTGGGAATACAAGAAGAGTCTTGCTTACTCATCCCTGTGGCTTCAGGGTACCCTGTGCTAGTTCTTCTGTTCTGCATGGTCCTTTTTGCATGGGAAGGAACAAGGTGCTCCGCAGCTCTGAACATCAAACCAACACTGCTCTGCTTCAAGCTGTGAGGTTCTTCTCTCGCTGGCAGCCAAAGCAAGCCTCTCGTAAGCGTCTGAACTTCAGGGCAGATAGACAATATGCTCCAGCACATTCAGCAGCAAGACTGTATTTTCTGGACATATGTTCATCTGAAGACTGACAGAGAAAAACAAAACTGATCCATAATGTTGCAATAAGTTTGCCTTCAGGAGAAACAAAGGCCTCAAAACACGGTTGCTGACATTCCCTACGACTTGCAAGAAAGCATAAAACATGGATTCCTTTAGAGGATTTGGGGGCAAGAGCCATGACAAAGGATGGCTGCTGTGTATTTCAGCCATCTCATTTCTGAGTGTCCTGCCACCGAGCGAGTGCCCATCACCGAGTCCAATCTCTGTAGTCTCCTCCAGTGAGATTGTTTCCAAGCCAAATGATGCGTCTGAAGATTCTCTCTTACTTCATGAGCGAATTCCCAATCACGAGGAGTTCTCAAAAGGATTCAGGTTTGGAATGAGGTCTCCAGTGACCAAGATGACATATGTACTATATAAAATCAAAGTTAACGTGAGCTGAAAATTTGTTCTTACAGGAAAGGAGTCAGAGTGAGCACCTAAGGCAAATTTTTGGTTCTTTTACAATAATTTATATCTGCTTTTCTGCAGCAGACCCTTGAAAGATTATAGCACAGCATAGCTGAAAGGTACTGTACGCTTCCATGATGCAAATGGAAAAGCTTACGACTCATAATCTTATTGCCACGACTGAAAATGTTAATTTTCATTACTGAACTGAAGAAGGAAGGGAGGAGACAAGGAAGATCCAACTCCCCACCTTCTTCCCAAGAACGACCCAAGTCCCGCTTTTGTCTGTGTCTATGTGAAAGCTTAACACTCGTGAAACAATCAGTTTTCTTCGCCTGTGACCTGTGGTGTGAGGGTTTCCTTTTGGAAAAAATCACCTATCCTCCTGCATTATGGGGCTATTTTTAGGGACAGTGAGTATGAGACATATGAAAAATAAATCCTCAACTATGAAAATAACAGAGGAAACAAGCTTTATTTTTATTATTTGAATTTTTTGTGCGTGGTGAAGGTACACATTTGACTCTGGTTTTCCTACATTTCCAAGACAGAGTAATTTCCTTTTATTTGTTGGCTAAAGCATCAAGAATACTGTGGCACACAGGAAGCTAAAACTACACACACACACACAAACACTTTGATGCGCATCTTTCATCCTCGACCTTAAAGAGACAAAGTTTGTATTTAGCCTCACTGGGATTAAAAAAAAACCCAAAATACAACAACTAAAAAAAAACTGAGAATAATATTTCATTGTGAGTGTCAAGAGAGTGCAAGGCTTACATGTACACAAAACATATGAGATTGACTTACAAAGATGGAATGTACAAAAGCTTTTTTAAAAAAAGGTAAAGAAAAAAGACAGACTCACTCCTAGAACTGGAAAGCTGCAGCATATCAACTGGTAGAGATTTCTAACGGGGCTACTGCCATACACTATGCAGCTTAGGGAACATTCCCATGTCATAAAGCCAAAGCAAAAGTGTCAGGGTTAAGGCCGTGTTGCTCACAAACATCAACCGAGGTGCTGTACATTCATCGGAAATAACACGACCCGCTAGGTATCTTCCTACTCCGTGGCACAAATACCTTTCGCGCGCTCTCTGCAAACAGGCCAAAACAATCACTGCTCACAATTCTTGAAGAAAATTTTCAGTGTACATCATGATTCCATAACTAGCTGTCACCCACAACTGAAAGTCATTTCTTTATAACAAACACAGCATATTGGGCACTTATAGTTCTCATTATGGCAACACTAGATCCTTAGTTATAAAAAATATTGACATAAAATCGAAAGCCCTCTAGCTTTTACAGAACCGAATAGCATTTACTAATAAATAACTCTCCATCTACATTAGGCAAATGCTTGCCTAAACCATTTTCCTTTTCTTTTTCAGCTACATTGCTGCTGGTTTAGCCTATGTAAAAATCCCCTACTATTTTATTTTTGATTTATCTGAACAGATCCTTATATTCTATTCACAAAACAATGAAAATAGTTGTCTAGTTTGTCCTAAAATGCTCCAAATTACACAAGATCTGATAACCTTTTGAGATTACTTTTGGGTTGAAGATTACTTAAATGAAGCACATACTTTCACCATTCATGCTGTGCTGCTAGTCAATTAGCATTCCAGGGAAGTCAAGGGAACATTTGGTTATACCTGAAATCTGGCAGCAGAATGCCTATAAAGCCTTTAATAAATGCTAACAACTCACCAAATCAAGTAGTGCAATTTTGATGTTCACTTAATTGGATAAGAAAAAAATACGCCCTTTTTTTAGAACAGAATTTCTGCTTTGGTTGGTCTTTGTCAGGTTTGTAAGCCAAGCATTTTAGCTAAGTTGGCTTCAGCAGCGTACCGTAAAAGCAATGTGTTTCTCAGTTTCCCGGTGCCAGGCAGATAAGGTCAGGCCTTGGGAGGGAATGCCCTATGCCACTGAATTTGAAATGGTAGTTGGCAGCATTTGCTGTCAGAAGGAACTCTAAATCAGTGACATTTTTCAGGTGTGGTAAGTGCTGCTTTGGCGATAATGTCTTGAAAACCCAAAAGACTATTCAGTCTTAAGAAAAAAATCTACATCACCCCTAATAGCTATTAGCGGGGTTGTAAGGGGGTTGTGTGCGGAATTCCATAGTTCATCAGGATGCACTGGGTTGACATAGGTTGCATAAAAACCTGGTAAATACTACTGAGTCAAAGGGACTGAAAATCTTTTGAAGAAAAGTATATGCATGGAATAGTACAGTCTTAAGTATATGTTTTGATATATAGGTTAGGGTCTGATTTCTGTGCTTCTGGGAGTTCCTGGCAACAGAGGATTTGGCAATGTTTCCTGAGTGGAAACCATGCAAATTTAGTAAAATTGGAACTAGATTTGATTAATATTATCCGTAACTGACAGCAACAGCACATTTCTCCTTTTTATCTCAAAGAAACTGTGCACCCTTTTTTCTTTGTTAATAAATACAGTTAAAATGCTACGTACCTTTTCTTCATTGATAAAGTCACCCTTTAAGGGCATTCCAATGTCAGAAATGGTTTGTTTGCCAGAACGTTGCTTATAAGGACACTTAGAAGGAAATTACTTGATAATCAGAAAATTTGATCTACAACTTTGTTAAATTTTGATAGGACAGTTTATTGTGTAATGATTGAGAGATCATCTTCAGAATTTTAGGACAAACTCAGTTCAAGCAGAGGATATTTTGTTCTCTTCATAATAACAAACTTAAGTTTCAACATTTCAAAAATGTTACCACCAGTTTCTTAGCTGCATTATATAGTCCAAACCTTAAGCCTTGTACACAAAATATTTATTCCAATGAAATAAGGAAACTTATCTTTGCATGAGAATTTGTAAATTGGCTCTATGTGCAAAAAATAAACACGGGAAAGAAGAGGAAATATCTTTAAGAAACAGTAATTAAAAAACAGACAAACTCCACATTTAAGAACCTTGGGGTCTGCATTTTTACACATCAAATGCACCTTAACAAAAAAACCATTCATTTTTCTCAAATTCATTGAAAAAACAACAATCTTAACCTTTTAGAAATAAGACAAATACTTATAACAAGTAATTTAACAAAGATTTCTTTCCATTTTGCAAACATGCTTAAAATACTCCCTTGTTCTTGACCCAATGCCCTTCTGTTTCAAGGCCCTAAAAATGAGAAAAGACAGACAGTACTTCCCAGGCTGTTGAGGGCATTGGCAACAAGCTCACCAGTTCCTCAAACGAGGTTTAAGAGTGAGCACCACTCCATCTATGTTAGGCTACAGTAGCAATTCATCCTTTGACTACTGGATTTAGAAATAAGAATAAAGCCGATGCTACTTTAAAAAGGACAAGTTCACACTTAAAAAAAAAAAACATTAAAAACAGAACCAAGTCTCATGATTGTAAGCATTTCCAATTAAGTTAATACTTCAACAAAGAACACAGTAGAGAGATCCGGCAGGAAGAAGGAGGGACATTTTTCAGAGTACTGCCATTGTCAAATGGCATACATACGTTCCAGTTTGCTGAAATAACCTACATTTACTTTTTTTTCATTTTTGTGCCAATCAGTCATACATACATACATACAAATAAATCGCAACAAATCTCACAGTCCTTATTGTGTCCTCTAACAAAATTCCCTTTGATGAAGGACTTCAGGAATTGGTTCAAATCCATTCTTATTTGTAATGTGTTTTTTCTCATGTAAAAACAATAGTTTTGGTAACCCTTGGCTTTCCTATACAACCTCTGTTTACCACAGTTCCTTCGGTTGTACAATGCAGGTCCTCCATAGGGGTACCTCTCTGGCTTTCTGTCCTGTGTGATGCTGCATTTTATTTTATGGGTTAATACAATGAGTTGCCTTAAGGAAACATGGCAATGAACACATACGAAAGAGTGGCACGCATTGTAATAACCTGACAATGGTTGACATTGTAATAACCCTGATCCTAATGAACTAGTTTGGTGTCAAAAGGTCTGTTGATATACAGAAATTCAGCTCTCACTAATGTATCATTACAATTAAGTTTTTCCAGAGCTTTAGAAATGTCAGGTCTCTGCAAAGTCCTTCCAGCACATTGAGCAAGAGGAAGAGTGAAAAACAAGCACATGAAACAATCCTTCATTAATCCCTCATGAGTAGGGAATTTGCATTGATTCTCATAGTGCTAAACGTTGAGCTGTGTTAGGTCTGACGGTTAGAGCTAGACGGATTTTGTGAGACTTAACCTTACACTAAAAGGACCTACTTGTTATAGATAGTAAGACTGAAGAATGTTAAAAGTGTAATACCTACCATGATAATGACATCTAGAAGATTCCCAGGACCACCTCTGGGTTAAATAATGCATAACAATGATACTTCTTCAAATTTGGAAGCTCTGAGCAGGAGCTACCCTTTGTAGTCTTCAAAACACTTTGGGGACTTTTCCCAAATTTTTCTCATTTTTGCCTAATTAGTTAATTCCAGTTCCATAAGTTGCAGTTTGCATTTAGTATCACATTGTCTTTATGAACTCGGCTAAAGAGGATTTTGTATATTAACCCTTACAACAAAAAGTTCAGTGAGAAACGTAAGAGGTGCAAGTCCTGTGTAAACAAGGTAAGTTTGGAAATTAACACGAGAAGTCCGTAAAAGACTCCGTCGTTAATAAAAATGAACTCAAAGTAGGAGATATCCTGCATTGGATCTCTAGGACCAGTCTTTTCTTACAGGTGGACGATTATCCAGCTCCAGAGCTCATTGCTACTGTAAGTATCGATAGACCTTGAAGCAGTGATTTCCAGAGTCTGCAACTACAACATGGCCATCTGAAGTAAGGGCCAGACCTTGGGGACCATAAAGTGGGTCAGCAGAGGTGTTAATGTAGGATAAAAATGATCCACTTCCATCAAAAACCTTTGAGGGTGAAAAAGCACAGAATAAATGTTATGAATAAAAAAGAAAAATAGCAGACACAAGTCTGCTTGTACACAAGTCAATTGTACCATTATATTTCTCATTTCTGAAACAGCTGACATACACTAGAATAAACAAGGGCAGAATCTGATCTGTTATTCCCATAATATACAAGCTTATATACAAACGTATTTTCTTATTAAAAAGAACTAATTAAAGCTGCCAGGATCTTTGGCAAGAATTAAACATGCAATGAAATTATAATAAGAGGAGCACCTTGGCTCTTCCTTGTTCTAAAAATAGCCAACTACCATAAATCAAACTCAATCAGGAACTCAGCCAACATCTTGTTTTCCTAACAAATATTACCATTGTGGCTAGCATGACTCTTAGGTTCCCACACGGAGAAAACGAGGAATTTGTTTACACTGTTGACAGTGCTTCCTGAGAACAACTCATAAGCAGCTCCCTCATTTTTATGATCAATGAAAACACTACATACACTTAGTTAACTTTTATTAGATATTCTTTGGCAAATAAGACTGTGTGATTAGCACTTGAAAGGTAAGAAGAGTGTAACTCAACTTAAAAGCAGAATATTTCCTCAATATTTAAAAAAGATTATAAAAATCTGCTGCATTTGCCTCAGGGTCTATACAAATTATTTGCTTTTTCGTATTTTCCACCATGTCTCCAATCTTCTGATATGGTGATTATAAATTACTACCATCTCAGCGACGCTTGCAAGTCTCCTAAGTAATCAAATAGCTTTTGGGGAACTACTTCAGTGTAACCATCAGAGTTGCTAGCAGTCACACTGGGAAGTCCACAATTTGACACCACCAGTTTCAAAAGTGGACAGACCAGCAATGAGGCATATAAAAGGCTTCATTAGAAACCACATCACTTCTAATGCTGCTGTCCTGTTTCTTGGGAAGTCTGAAGACTTCAGTGACCAGAGTTATCAATCCATTAGTTTTCCGCATCAAGCACCTCTGAAATACAGAAATTTCTACCTGTATTCGGCTGTTTCCCCAGTCTGCTACAATAATATTTCCATTAGAATCTACAGCTACTCCAGTTGGTGCATTAAATTGTCCATTTCCTTCTCCATTTGATCCAAACTTCAGTATGAATTCTCCCTCCTGGTTAAATACCTGCACGGGTTAAAACAAAAACCTGAATATGACATTGTATCAAGTATTAGTAATCTACTACTACCAGTTCACCTGTTAACAAAACCAGGAATTGAAGTGTTCCCAGGAACATCCGCCCCTACACACATACACACACACACTAAAGATGGGAGAAAAGGTGCCCATCTCTCCCGCTAGCTCCATTACACCACACAGTATTTCCCTTCTCATTTAAGATCTGATTCAGCTCGGACACAGAGGTGGAGGGCCCCAGGAACCCTTCTGCAGCTTGTGCACCTTGAATTAAGAAGAGCTGAGTGCAGATATGGCACTTGGAGTCAGTCCTACAGAAACACAACTGAGCAGATGCATTCTCCTCTGACTTTCATAATCTAACACATACTGAGAATCATGGCATACTGCTCTCTGTATAGACAGTTCAGCAAGTGAATTCTCTGTGATGGTAACAGGTTTAAGCAGCAGAAAGACGGAACTGATCAATGACTATTCTGTCAGTGACCTGGATGCACCAACGGCACCAAGTGAGATACAGGATGTGTTATTCACATAGTACCATAGCCATCTCTATTTTGGTCCATCTTGGACCCAGGCCCAGCTGCGCCACAAGGTCCAACAGCGTTCTTAGAGACCGGCTATAGCTTGCACAAGAAAATGCAAAGTGCCAAGTGCACACTGAATTGCTAAGAAGGTGGGAGATGTGAGGAAATCATCCTATTCTTGAATGCCCACAGTGATAAGAGAAAAAGCATTTGGGGGAGGAAATTAATGAAGTACCAGGTTGGCGCCTGAGATGATTAAAGAAAGCAGAAAAAAATCAACTAATAAAAAAAGCAGGGGAAGACTTACTGCTCTCTCCCTGGGTTAAAATGGGGATAGTGAGTGACCGAGTGAGAGAGAAGCCTACATTGAGTAGGATTTTCTGTAGAAGATGCCTGAAGGAAGGAACGCATTCAAAGGTTAATGCAGGAAGGAGGATAATGTTGCTGAGTGAGGATGGATAATTCAAGACACCGGTGGCAGGAAGAGGCTTTGGGACACATAAAAGTGAAATTTATTTATTTATTTATAAATTTATTTATTATTTAAAATGAAACGTACTCTCTGCTCTTTTCCCCACCATCTAACAAAAGATAACAGCATCACACAGATTATAACTTACTGTCCAGAGTGTCAACAATTGTCTGTACCAATTTAGAGAACACTACAAAAATAAGAATCTTTTCCAGTTAGTACCAAATTGTAACAAATAACATTTTTATCCCATTGAGTCAGGCCAGAGACAGATGGGAACACTCTGTTCTCATTAGGAATGCCATAACTACCAATTTGCTAAGCTGCCACACTTATTACATCTCTTCACTTGCTTTTTTTCATTTTAGTTTGCCCGTGTTTTTAACTCTCTCCAGGCATTCTTGTTACCACGGCAAGCCCTGCTGCTGGAGGGGTAATTTATGGAGTCATAGGCCTGCTGCTGCTAAACCATGTAAACAATCTGCTTTAGGGCTCCTGCAGCAGTCTTGGTTTCTTTGTTGTAATCCCAACCATGAGTTGCTACTTCCTCTCTAATTCCAAAAGGATGCAAGAGCAAGGTCGCTATTCAAAAGCTACGTGATTCTGCACTGCTCAGGACATGAGAGTGTCTACGCTCAGACTGTGATTTCCTATTTCAGGTGAATAAATCAGATTTATCATTTCAGTTATGAATGGTGATGGACTGAGGATTCATCTTCGTGTTCAGTCAAATCCCTGGGATTTCACCTGTGCGTGGGACTGGCGCACATGGCCTGAGGACCCGGGTAGGACAGCGTTCTGTTGCCCGTGTCCTCCTGCTGCTGCTGCGTGTTAAGGGAGGGACAAAGAGTGTGGAAAAGGACTGAAAGGGAATGTCACGGCCTGAAAACAAACACGCACAGGTGAGTAATTTTTGAAATGGCCTGTAGCTCCATATATATTTTCCACCACATGACATCTCAGTATGTATCCTTGTTTTGGTTTATTATTGGGACAAACAAATATACCACCCTATCTTATGACACCACCCTATCTTATGACACCCATGAGTCAGGACTTCCCATGGGTGTAAGGACTAGTGGCCCAGAGCAGGAAGTACTGGATGAAAACTGATGGTCTGTGCTACACAGTTGTTAAGATGGGTTGTAAATGGATTCAGTACTCTTAGAACTTATAGATACAGAATTAAAGATTGGCTGGTATCTTTACTTTGTTATCATTTTATTCCACTAGAAACGTGGGAAGCTTTTACTGGGAAGATCAAAAGCAGTTACCAGACTTAATTAAAATAGGAAAGAACATAGGGTAAATCACAGGTTTGGCAGAGAGATAATAAAAATAACTAAGTTGATATTATTTATCTCAGGTACAATTTATATTTAAGCAATTGAATTAGAGAACATTATAGTGGCACCAAAGGCAATGGATTATATCTCCATTAAGCGACACACTGCATGCAAAGGTCTCTGAATGTGCAGTCCTTATATAAGACCTCATACGTATAAAGTGTGACCTCTTTGTTTTTAACATTACTTTATTTTCCCCAAGAAAGTACCATGATAAAATAAAAAACTTTCCAAGTTGCTATTAATTGACAGTACCTTGACAGAATGGTTATGAAAATCTGTAACGATAATTTCATTGTTGCTGTTTACAGCTGCAAAATGAGGACCTGCAATGCAGAGAAAGAAAAAAAAATAATAAAAATAAAAATACCCCTAAGTAAAAAATTTTGCTTAAATCAAAAAATTATTATATTTGGCTTCTAAGTAATAACAGTCAAATTGGGAATGTCAATTTCAAATTAAGAGTAACTTCATTTCATATTTTAAAAAGCTCATCATACCTTTTTGTAAACACAAATAACTTCTTTTTCAACCAGTTGTCAGCTAGTGCTATCAATAAGCATTGTTCATTCCTTCCTCTCTCATGTACAGATGCCTATGTAGATATTTATGTGCTTATTAACAAGACAAAACATGTAGTGCTTAGGCATAAAGTTGTATATAAACTGAAAATAGTTATGAAAAATGTTCATGTAAAGTCTTAATCAAAATCTTCTATGCTTTGTGTGCTTACTTCTTACAAGCATTTGAGCAAACAAGTTTTAGAATAAATACAAAAATTGTTTAGAAGAACACTATCAGGGAAAAAAGTGCATTTTTTGCTTTACTTTGTGTATTGACCTATGTGTGCTAACTTGAATAAAAAACAAATGCTAACTTGAAAAGAGGCAAGTACCTGAATCAAAATACTTGAGTATTTATATAACAACTTGAGTTATTAAACAGATCAGAACTCAGTTTCCATTTTCACAGTACATCAGTGTAAACTATAAAAAGGGTGAAAACCTTTACACTGAAAAAATCCAGTAAGGACAATTCACCTGTTTTACGTAGCCTACCACCAAGAAGAGGTGATACATTTCTCAAATGCACCATTACAGAGTATTTGCACATTTCTTTTCAGGATGTATTCTTACAAATTTTAAAATGAAAGAAATTGGACATAACCAGAAAATGTTGGTGACACCTAGCTGTGTTAAGAGCCAAAGCTCTCATAAATTAGATACATGGCACTTGTGCCAGATGACATTGCAAGAGATCTCGAGTAAGATAAAAGCAGTTCTACCATTGATGCTATTTCTCTCTTATGCTGTGAACCAGTCAGAACATCAGACCAATCTATCACTACTTATTCCGTGTCCCAACACCCTCAAAATGACCTGCATATGTAATTTGGCATCTTCATTTCAAATTTTGAAAGAACAGCTACTCACTCAAAATATAGCAGTTGTCTTTTTTTAAATTTAATTGCATGTTCTAACTGACAGACACCAGGCGCAAGCAGTCAGTTGAATAAAAGCGGCAATTTCCCCAAACTGGCATATTCCGTTTACATTAACTGTGTGTTCCTGATCTCAATCTTAACACTATCCCATTATATTCATTTTCTAATGGAAAGATACCACTTAGGGCATTGGTTAATGTGTATCTGATCATTGGAAACACAAAGCATCGTGCTTGAGTTAATTATCATGAACAGCTGAGTGTAGGCATTACAAAGCATTTATAAAATGCTAGTTAGGATCAGTCTTTCTTGGGTGACTGATCTGAAAGGCTTCCAGGCACAGAGAGGTAGATAACACAATCTGGTTACAGCTACATTTGCAGAACAGATGTTGCAGTCTTCCTGCCGAATTAAACAAATGCTGAAGTGAGTAGGAGCTGTATGTTTAGCAGAACCTTTCCCCTACAGGAAAAACGAGTAGGATATAGCGTCTTCAACATGCTCAAACATCATGCAAATGTGAGCAGAAGAGGCAAGAAAAGGGGATTTACATATTACCATCAAGTGTACCTGCAAACTGCTTGTCACCATTTCCTCGACTACCGAACCTGGTGACTATTTTTCCATTCGGCTGGAAGATGAAGACACAGCATGCTTTATTGTCCACTACAATGATGTGTCCATTACGATCCACAGAAACACCTTTAGGGCCCATGAGCTTTCCAGACCCAATCTTGGCCTAAAAGGGAAAACACAAAACAGGAAAATACATTGGCATGATAGAAATAAGTTAGTACAGTTCAAAGATTGTATTACAGGCACACAGTGGGACGGAGAGACATTTTTGTTATCAAAAGTTTCCCAGAGGGAAGTGATTGTTTTTATCAGCTCTTATTGTGCATTTCATAGTTTTTTCTTCAGCTGAAAATAAAGACTGCTTTCTGTATGTCCTTTCTAGAGTGGAAAATCTGCCACCTCAGGAACTCAGTCCAAACATACAGCTCATGAGAAACATAATCATCATATTTGTGTGTCTTGATAAAATACAGCATCTGTCAGAAACCATCACAAAAAGCTGTATAGCCAGCACTAGTGTACCAGCAGGACAGGCAGACAGGCATAAAGGACTTCTGCCTCCTATTGCATACTATTCCCGAGTCCAACAATCCCCTGGTTATGGGTGGAGAAACATGCCTTTACCACTGCCTGCTACATCAAAGCAGTCAGAGCTCACTCTTGGAGCATCAGAGCTGAGTGGGATGTAGGCTATGATGTCCTCTGTTGCGTTTCTTGTGTGAATGAGACACCATGCAGCTTCTGAGTGCTTTTGGAAAGAATTTGAGCAGAGCTAAAGCTCAGGCTAACCTCTGTATGTTCCACCAGATCCATGTGAGATTGCTTCACTTGCTGCTTAGATACATGAAGTGTCAGCTGAAACATGCAAAGGACATAGGATCGTGCTGCCAAACAGCAAATAAAGTAATCTTTGAAACACTAAACAAATCAGAGCTTGCTCCTGTCTTAGGTAAATTATTTCCATCATTTTAAATAGGCCTGGTGACTACCAAAACCATCTGCCAGCATAATCAGCAACAGGAGGGGAATTGTATACGATAGTCCATATAGTATCAATGGAAAAATCTTCAGTGGAGATGAGGTGGATCTTGCACACAGTGAATTATTTGGAAAGGCTAGAGAGCTGTCAAAATAAAACCAGAAAATGTTAGAAGCCATCTATAGTAGGATCAAAAAGAAGGGTATCTAAGAAGGGGATCTAAGAAACAGCATCCAGAGCAAGCAGAAATTGAGGCTTCAAAGAGCCCTTGAGCTATCTGGGCGTATACCCAAGAAGATTCTAGGATCACCTTGCAACCCATTTCACATTTTTCACCATTTTGCTCTTTTTTTCAGGCAGAGATTCTAGAAATTGGTTTAATCTACATAAAATCAGTTGAGTTTTGACCTTTCAGTTAAAAAAACGTTATACAAATATCACCTAATTTGGGGGGCAAGGGGAGCTGTTGTCGTTGGAATGTAGCAACTTGCTTTCTGGTTTTGGCTGTTTTTTTGAAAATGATGGACAGATTTGGAAGCATTTATCCAGGTTGGTTCTGAAAGTCTGGTCTCCTGCCAGCCTCTTTACTATGCTGGACAGGCAATCTGTGTTGAAATTATGGATCCCAGAACTTTCAGTTCCTGTAGTAATTTGTGAGAGACACATCTTAGAAACTGAGGTCCATCTCTTTGGCGGAGAACTTAATTTCCTGTTTCCATTGGAATTGAAATGAAAGAGATACTAAGATATTTGTTGTCTTTATAAAACAAGGCCATTTTTCACCTCCCTGCCTTTGCAGGGTGGGACAGATCACCACCTAGAACAAGCAATGCTTCTGACTGCTGTGCTCCTCTCCCCTCCCTCCTGCAAGTGGTGAGGAGTAGCTGAAGCTCTTGTTAGTCTGTGACTATCAGGATGGAATAGATTACAGGGCATGGAGAAGATCCACAACCTAACTCGTGTCTCTCAATTCCCTAATGTTGTCAAAGCAAACAACCAGGTTAGTATCTGAAGGAGCTCAACTGCCCTTAGTAAGCCCCATGCTCCTATTCCACGATACATTCTCATGGGTGGGGTTGCAGGTAAAAATAGGAGCCACCCCAAAATAAAGCCCATCTAGGTTCCCTAAGGCTGTCTGGTACAAAGTCACCAGCACTACTACACAGCTTCATTCCATCTCAGATAAAGAAAACTCTGGGGGGTAAAACTTGCAGCTTCAAGACTATGCTTAGCCAACATGCAATGATCATGTATCTGGTTTATGTTCAGGTATGTATGCTGTTATAAATTGCTGAATATTTAGACAAAACCCACCTAATTAAATCATTCTAAAATATCCCCAGGGAAAACTATTAAAAATGACTTTGTGTTCTCCAGGGGAAAGATATGAGCGGACCTACAAAGTGTATTCAGGTTTGCATAACAACAAAGCAGCAAAAACAGAAACCAAATGCAAATCAGTAGATCTATTTCCTTTGGGGTGATTAAATCATATTCCCGTCTTTCCTCTGGGATGCCCATGTGTTTGTCTGCTTGTGCGTTGCACCACCTCCTTACCATCTTTCCAGGATTCCTATGGAAAAATGACTCAGACTCATGAGTACAGTGTCTTCCTGCCCATATAAATACATATGAAAAAAAAGCATTAATGAATCACATACTACATTAATGAGCACTCAGTGCTAAGAAAAGGAATAAAAATTGCTATTCTTGGGCCAGGATTTAAAATATAATTTGCAGGCAGCAATAAATTATGCCCAGCTAGAGTTTGCAGTGCCTTTTAGTAAAAATCTCTGTTTTCAGTTTAGATCAAAATATGCTGATGACACATTACTGGGTCTGGCTGAACATATGCTTTGTATATTTTTATTTCAGAAAGTTTCTTAGAATTATAGGTTCGATTATTTAGAACAGAACATTATGAAACCCAGTCATTCCTGTTAAGTGTATGAATGGAAGTATTTTCAGACTTTTCTGCCATTAGAAACGAATAAAGTATAATGAATCATCTAAACCCTTAATACAAATAATGTGTTTAATTGAATTCAGTCAAGGACATTATGTCCCTTATTTTATAGGCTCTTATGAACTTAGACTGGTTTTCAAATATGTGTTTATACAGTCACCCTACCTGGGTAGAAAATATTCTACTGTGGGATATTCCTAGAGGTAAAAAAATCAGCTAGCCTATATAAAAATTTATAAAGACTTTTCCACTGTAGAAGTAGGTGTGCTAGGTCTTTAAGTTTAACTTCACCAATCTCGTTGCTGTCTGAAAGGTTCATGATTGTCAGGAATTAATTTACAGACTTTCAACACACCATCTTTCCCTGTTTGAGAACTTCCCTAATACGGAGATACAGCTTTGTCACACATTGCAATGTCACTCAATACACGGATTTATCATTCACATGACTGTCTTAATTCAACTGTGACCACTTAACTACACTCCACAGAACTATTCCTATCTGAACATGCAACCAGCTTCAAGCTTCTCCCTTCTTAATTCTTCTAATGAAACAAGAAAAAAAAAGTCTGACAGATAAAATGTTTCCTTTCATCTTTGCCCACTCATCTAAACTTGATCTTAACTTGACTTGCAGCCTTGTTTGGCTGATAACAAGCTATCTCAGATACAACCCTTCCAGACTAGAAAGAAAGTAATACTCTCCTCAGAGGACCAATAATCATTCTCTTGGCTCTGTTCTCCATTTCCTTCACTAGGTTTGACCACCACCACTGGCACAGAAGCTTATACTGCTGCTTCACCATGCATTCTCTCTTTAGCCTAGCAATATGTCTTCTATAACAAGTTTTCTTAAGCAAATCCAGAGTAATTTACAGAGGAAGCCAGCACTTTTATCTGCCTTCTATAGAGAAGGAAAATAAAGCACTGGGAAGTGAGATGAAGATCACTAGTCACCTGAGAGACCCGTGGCGTGGCCAGAAACAGAAGCCCCAATTCCTAAGAACCCATCTGAGGCTTTGTCGTTCACAGGGTAACACAGCCCTTCATTTTAAGGGACTCGTGTTTTGGTGTAACCTTAGATTAGGGTTTGTCCCCCTCTGCATTATGCAAGTTTTACAGCCTTGAGAAAACGGAGCTCTGTCTCTGTTGCTGCCAGCGACTGAAGAAGGTGACACTTTTCTGCCTGGCAGGGAAGGTTGCTGGGGCGAGTCAGCCCAGTGCTGTAATCAGGGAGATGCCTGGGCCTGGCTCCAGGGGAAATTTGCCTTCTGGCTCACATGACTATGAAAATGCTGCTAGGGGACAGCAAATGTGTAAGTAGAGAAAGAAAGGGACAACAACAAAAATAGTTAGATTAAGTTCAAAACAGCCCCCTGATAATGCTGAGTTAACAACTAGCAGACCACCTGCACCAGAGATCATATACAATGACTTGCAGGCACAGTCCTTTGAAGGGAAACACCATTATCCCTTTATCTCTCTCTCTCTCTCTCTCTCTCTCTCTCTCTCTCTCTCTCTTAGCAAGTGTTGCCCAATTTAATCTGACAAAGGCCCTGCAAGAATTACCACTGCCAACACACAAGAAATTACAAAGTTTTGCCCAGATTCCCACAGGCTAGATCTGTTATATCAGTGTCCTGTGTTTCAACCACATGATTATGCCTGCCCTCCATATGTAAAATGCTTCCACAAACATTTGTATATTTTTCTCTCATAAATATAGCCCGTTGCATTCAATCTAAAAACAGTATTTTATATCACTGATGTTTCATCTCTCATTTAATCAGTCTAGTCCCAAGAACTATAAAGTCTGATGCATTAAGTTGTATTAACCACACAAACATTGCCAACTCTACATAGCTCTTGCAATCCAACAAAAGCATTGAATAAAACCAAAGCTAGGCTCCACGTCAGAGAAACTACCTTAATAATTCATTTTTTTCAATTCCTGTCTCCCAGCTGGTAGTGAATAGCACATAGGGTCCCAGCTCCTCCAGAGCCATGGCTTTTTCCTCCAGAGCTGGCACCATCTGAAATGCTGGATTTACAGCATGTCTTGAGAAGGAAGGAAAATGAGCCCTCCATGCTCTGCTTCCAGATCAAGCCAGTTCACATTAAAGATGTTAATAATTATTTAAAACATGCTTAGGTTACTCAGCGTATTTGGATTCTTAACTAAATTACATATTTCTTTGGTTATGTTTTGGAGTCTCCATTTCATTCAAGGACTTCAGCCAAAACCAAGGTTTTCCTGTGTAGCTGTACATTTTCAAAACTACTTGACAAGAAAAATCACATACTCTCTGCAAATGCAAGTAATTTGTATTTTTTTAACACTTGCATTGCATATTAGTATTGTTTTATTTTAGCTTCAAGACTACACAGGATCTGGATGCTTTTAAAAGCATACACGTCTGTTTTCCAGATGGAGGTCACTGAGGGCTCTGCAAGCACAACTGCCTATTTGCTATAGCATTTGTCACTTTGCAAAGACTATTCAAAAGGAGGACATTTCTTGGTACACGTGAGCAGCTCAGAACCTGAGCTTTTTGGTCATCACGTTGCCAGAAAATTAGCCAAACAGGCAATTTCTCTCCAATGCAGGACTCTAGAACTAAGTAACTATGGTAGAAATTTGCCTGCGGGTCCTTTATCTCACTGAACAGTGTATACTGTTAACCTCTGCTGTCAGTGGCTACTTCTAGGATGCATCGCCAGACTCAGTAACAGGGATTCAGAGAACAGCACTAGATGGAGGCAACCTTTAATTCTCTCTGCAATTGCACCTGAACCCAAGCAAAATAAATACTGCAGGTTGGCAAGCATCAGTGTAATGTAGGAGCTGCCTTCTTATTTTACTCCTATTAAAGGGATCAGAGTTGCTAAGAAAATAAGAGGCGTGCTTTTCTCAGAACTTCTTATTTCTGAAGCCTGAGACATTATTTCTGCCTTTCAGTTTTTCGAGTGCACATAACCCCACCTAAAACACTCCTGTCTATGCTGTAGCACTGGAACAACATCCTGGGTTGCCCTTCCTTGCATTTATTACCAACAGGATCATACATGAATTATACACTTGATTTGCTGATACGTATGGAGTAAATAAAGGAAGTCATCATCAGTCTGCCACCTTATTTTTCTCCTCCGTATGTCACTGAAGAGCCTCATGTCCTCCTCGTAAGTTTTTATGTCTGTCTGTGTGTTTATACATATATGCACACGCCTTTCTGTATAATCAGAATACTAATGATATGAAGGCTGTTGAACTAGTTGAACTAGACTTGAGCACATGAGCTATGCTTGACTCTAAGTTACAGAAAGGCATCCAAGCACCTAGTACGCAGAAATATAAAATGGAACGTATAATCTGTATTTGGTAGAACATTAGTATCACAGCTGTGACCTCTTCCTATGAATTACACAGCATGGCTGTGTCATGGGTTTTCACATCACAACAATCAAATTTGGACCAAGTTACAACCAAACTATGTAGTTTCTTGACCAAAAAAAACATTTGCTTTCCTTTGTACAATGGAGAAAGCTCAGGAGAGTTCACATGATAACTCGTACCTTAAATTTTCCATCTGATGAGAATATGCTAACCCATTTGTTATCGTAATCTGCAATAATGATGTCACCACTGGGATGCACAGCCACTCCTGTTGGCCGCTGCAACTGGCCAGGAGACCTTCCTCGTATGCCAAAACGGCTTTTGAACTGACCATCATTGGAAAATATCTGTAACATAAAACATTCATTTTAAAATTAAGTCTGCATAGTAACATCATCTATTTCTTGGAGTTTAGATTTTAGCAAGTCACTAATGAACACTATAGTCAGAAAGAGAGTTAGGAACATGAAGCACTTTTACACAGCCCATGTTTGAAAGTGATATGCCTAATTTAAGAGGAGGCTTCCACCTGGACCCTAATTTCAAAATAAAGAAGTTGTCTGCACTTACATTGCACTGTTTCTTCAGTCATCTCAAAGTACTTTACAAACATTTGTGAATTAAGTTTCACAATGTCCCTCTCAGCTGGAAGGAAGTGTATTATTCCCATACTAGACATGAGGAAACTGAGACACTGAGTGACATGGCCACAGTCAAACACTAAGTCTGTAGAAAAGGTAGGAATAGAAGCTAAAAGAGAATTTCAAAATTTAATTATTTGACTTAGGGATAAGTATTAGGCCGCTCCCTGAGAGATACTTTACGCACACAAAATCCAGTCCACTGGTTGTGTCCCCAAGCCAACTAATTAGACACTGGAGTTCCTCTGAAGTGGCTGCAAATTACAAAGTGTGAGGGTGCTGATGAATATTTGACTCTGTTTCTTTGAAAAAGCCTGGAAATTAGTTCTTACTGCATGTGGCTTGCTGGTTCTCACATACCAAAGAACAAGCCACACACTGCTGCCTTGTTCATTGCTACCACGTGGGCAGCCTGAAGAGTGATGACAAATTGTTAATGGTAAAAAAGATACATGGCAAGCAAAAGAAAAAACACAGCTTGATTTTCACACAGGCTACAGAAGCCAAGAAACCATGGGTGTCAGGGGTGCTACCACAGAAAAGATTTGATCATGATATCAGACAGAAAAGTCTAAAAGCCATGTGAAAATGACATCTACATGTTTATTTTTCTATTTGTATTTGCTTAAGAAATTATATTTGTGGCACCTTGCCCTAGATTTATATTTGGAAACACAGAGTGATAAATTTACAATGTAAAATGGTATTTACAAAAAGGCATTTTCCAGATTATTGCACCGCTTGTTTTCTTCATTCATTGCCAAACATCACAAGGAAAGGAAATAAACTCTGATATACATACTTGATACAGTGTAGATCTGAAAAAGCTAGCTGCAGGTCAAGAAGATGGAATGATAATGGATGATAAACAAGTTGAGCTTCCTCTGTATTTTCTGTATCTGCTTGAACCGTACAAAATGTGTCTTTCCTGGACTACAAAGAAGGCAGAGGTGTGGGAGCGGGGAGAAAATGAAAAATACCGGAAGTGGCATATCCTCATACCTGCACGCACTGGTTGTTACTGTCTGCTATTAATATTTTTCCATTTGTAGATGCAGCTACACCTTGAAGATTTGTAAATTCCCCTTTGTTTCTTCCTTTGGTGCCTAAAATTGAACACAAAGCACATAAGAAAACAGGTTAGTCAGGACTAATCAGTTAGGATCTAAATGCCAACACATACATTTATTACATCCTTGATCTATAGATTTCTATTTTGGAGAGTTCTTATCACTGCTACAACTTCAAAGAACCATCTCAGTAACAGATCCACAATTCTGAGTACAAGAATGGATTGTTCTTACTCTTTGGCATGTATGCCATCTAAGCCCCCACCAACATAATTACCTCTTTCGCCTTCACAAATCAAAGTGTTCACAATTTGCCTCTTGTGTGAGGGAACTAGTGAAATGCTTTTTCATAAATGATGGACTTTTTTTAAACTGCAGATTTTTATCCAGCTGAGAAGGCAAAGAAAGGGGTGGTACTGTAGGAACATACAGACCAAGGCTAAGATAAGAACCTGGACAGATGACAAGGTTTTAGTATAGTTAGCTAAATCTCCTCAGTGAAGTCACGAAGTTGAGATAAAACATATTGGTGATCACTTTGGATGGGGTCATTTCAAGACAGGGAAGTTTCCTATTTACTCATAAACAGTTTTTAGTCATAGATTCCCTTAGAAAGGAATAAATTTTTTTTCATAAATTTCATAAATTCCTTTACAATGGAAACTCAGATGAAGAACTGGTTTTTAATGATTGGGACATGTGGGATGATGAAGACTAACACCTGGAGACTGAATGCTTCTGCAAAGACCTTAGATTATTCCAGTGTATTAAAGCAGTGTACACACACAAAGGTCCCATTTTTACCCAGGACAAACGCAATAGTGATTTACATAGAACCAGAAGTCTTTTCTCCAGTGGCTTAAGGGGATAAGGAGCTGTAAAATGTCAAATTTTCACAAAAGTTCATTAAGTTTAGGTGCCTCATTACTTAGATGCTTGTTCTGAGATGTTCTAAGGACAGTCACACAGCAAACTAGTGTCTTTAAAAGGTCAGCCCTAAAGTAGTTGGTCCAAATTACACCTGGAGCACAGGAACAGTATCCAAATTCCTGCTTTGTTTGGAAAGGAGCCTCAGGGGTCTTTAGACAATATTGCAGTTATGATCTTGGACCCCACAGTTATTCATAATGAATGAACGAATTTTGAAACAAAACAACTTTATAAGCTGTTCTTTTCAAGACTTGGATGCAGCACTATTTTTCCTGGTGAAGTATTTTTACAAGCATTCACTGGCTGTGTATCAGTCATTAATTGGTTTCGATATATGGTTTTAACTGAAAAACTTGTATTTTATTTTAGTCAGTCCAAAATATCCTGGAGCTAATGTATTTAAAACTGTTCTGACTGTGATGCCCAATATAAGACATACATATTAGCTCTAATTTGTATTTAGCTTTCATTAGGGATGTATATGCTCTTAACAACCCTTCTACTGTGGTGATGGGCTGTGGGATGCATATTGGTGCTGTGAGCATGTCCCTTTGTTCAAGGCTTGTTTTCTTGACCTCCATATGCTCCATCCTCTAAACAAGGCAAATACTTCTTAATTTTTGTACTGCAAGGGGAAAGTACATATTCAGGGAATAGTGAGTTACACACCAATTACATTACCCACATTTGAGCCATTTCTGTGTATTCTTTTAATGAGCAGTGCCTGAGGGATGCAGGCAGTAATTTTTTTCCACCATATGCTAATGATAAGTTTCCTTTTTGCCTTTAAGCCAAAGAGAATGGATGAAAAGGCAGAAACATTCCTTCTACTACTGAGAGTAAAAGGAAAACATTTGTTAGAAAAGAGAAGGCATAAGCTAGAGCATCTGGAATCAACTAGCACAAACTTTATGGAATGTATGCTCTTTACCCTTAGAAAAATGTTCTTGAAAGTCAAGGGATTTGATTTTTAAAGATAAGATAAACCTATATAAAGAATTACTCACAGTGTTCTTCAGTAGGACCTTGTAAACATACATCAAAGGAAAAATAGAAGAAATTGCCCAGGA